AAGCTACCCAACTCACCCCCATAAAGATCCCTTAAAGAGATGATGAGCAACAAAAACGTGTGTTAATAGTCTCAGAGACGGTTTGATTCCTGAACAAAATAGGAAGATTGAGAATGCAGCTCCTTCTCCCCTGATCTCTCTCTCTATAGATATTGTGTAATTAAGACACCCAATGAGTTATTTTTCAGGGTAGAGTCACTCCATATGTTTTTCAGGTAATTTAGATTGGTGAAAGATGAGATACATGATGAGAAAGACAGTAAAGAGTGAATAGTGGGATGTCAGAGGGTGATGGGAGGGCAGAGAGTTGGGGTCACAATGATAAAATATTTCTTCTCTTCCCCTCTTTTTTACATCCAACCAGTATCAACCTCAAGTCCACATTTTCTTAAATGCTTTTCATATATCCTTGAATTGTTTCTGCAAGTTATTTCAGAGCTATGTTGAAGGAAGATTAACTTTTCACTCTCAAGATATCTAGTAATTCTTCTTGCTGCTCATGTTACTTCTGAGAATTTGGTTTGGATAATAGTACCCCTAAGTTAATAGTTTGTTATTCTCATCACCTATGTACTTGAGAAATTACTTCTCAATCAATCCTGGGAGTGAAAAGGTTAATAGCATACCCAAATATTCTTTATTTTAGGAATCTGAGAGAGGGCTGTCTAGGATAGGACGTAAAGCCGGAGGTCCCGTCTCCTGCATCTGTCAGTTAATTTGGTTAGGCAGGGGATGTTAAAAAACTCACTTCACGAGATTACTTTGAGGTGGTCTGGCCCATTTATTAGGAATTGGCAGGAGGGGGCATCTGTAAAATTTCTTCTTTATTAATTGTAAACTGCCACTGGCAGTCTGGAAAAAGTCCCCCGCATAGTGTTATAAGTGCATTAGAACATTGCATGGAAATGCGCTATAGAAATTGATATTTATATGAGAACGATCCTTCGCAGTAAAGCACTATTTGAGCAATAGTGAAAATCAGACCTGAAAAAAATTTCAGGCCTGTACGGGATTCGAACCACTGACCTCTGCGATACTAGTGCAGCGCTCTACCAATGGCCTACCAATGGCCTGCCAATGGCTCTACCAATGGCCTGCTCCCAGTTGGCTTGTTAGCTCAATTGGTAGAGCGCTGCACTAGTATCGCAGAGGTCAGTGGTTCGAATCCCGTACAGGCCTGAAATTTTTTTCAGGTCTGATTTTCACTATTGCTCAAATAGTGCTTTACTGCGAAGGATCGTTCTCATATAAATATCAATTTCTATAGCGCATTTCCATGCAATGTTCTAATGCACTTATAACACTATGCGGGGGACTTTTTCCAGACTGCCAGTGGCAGTTTACAATTAATAAAGAAGAAATTTTACAGATGCCCCCTCCTGCCAATTCCTAATAAATGGGCCAGACCACCTCAAAGTAATCTCGTGAAGTGAGTTTTTTAACATCCCCTGCCTAACCAAATTAACTGACAGATGCAGGAGACGGGACCTCCGGCTTTACGTCCTATCCTAGACAGCCCTCTCTCAGATTCCTAAAATAAAGAATATTTGGGTATGCTATTAACCTTTTCACTCCCAGGATTGATTGAGAAGTAATTTCTCAAGTACATAGGTGATGAGAATAACAAACTATTAACTTAGGGGTACTATTATCCAAACCAAATTCTCAGAAGTAACATGAGCAGCAAGAAGAATTACTAGATATCTTGAGAGTGAAAAGTTAATCTTCCTTCAACATAGCTCTGAAATAACTTGCAGAAACAATTCAAGGATATATGAAAAGCATTTAAGAAAATGTGGACTTGAGGTTGATACTGGTTGGATGTAAAAAAGAGGGGAAGAGAAGAAATATTTTATCATTGTGACCCCAACTCTCTGCCCTCCCATCACCCTCTGACATCCCACTATTCACTCTTTACTGTCTTTCTCATCATGTATCTCATCTTTCACCAATCTAAATTACCTGAAAAACATATGGAGTGACTCTACCCTGAAAAATAACTCATTGGGTGTCTTAATTACACAATATCTATAGAGAGAGAGATCAGGGGAGAAGGAGCTGCATTCTCAATCTTCCTATTTTGTTCAGGAATCAAACCGTCTCTGAGACTATTAACACACGTTTTTGTTGCTCATCATCTCTTTAAGGGATCTTTATGGGGGTGAGTTGGGTAGCTTATTTTTAGCAGTCTTCATTGCTTACTTCATTTCAAATTGCTTTAAATTACTTAAAACCAGAAGAAACTCTAGAAGTAGATGTTTCTTGGTAGCGCTATCAATAAAACACTGAAAATAGCACAGTGACGTATTGTTTACAAAAACGTAAATAAATCGATGTTGTTGGCAAGAACAGCCATCACGAAATTAGAATAAACGCATCCGGTTGTACTATAAAACAAGAAAGTAAAAGAATACTTCCTTCGTAGCTATCTCTGAGTATTCCTTGATATAAAATCAATCACTGAAATATTTCTCGATGAGTTTAAGTCTCGAAAGATATACCCTGGGCTCTTAGAAAAACAGTTACAGGATCAAGCAAAAAAAAAAAATTAGCGTTTCAGCGTAAATAATTTTTATGCTTACATATACGGTATATTAGAATTGAAAGAAATGAACTCAGCAATCTGCAACCCAAACACTACTGAAAAGATTATGTTTTGTACAGGAATTTAGATCACAAAAAAGAGACAGCTTTTATATTAGCTCAATTCCTATCGTACGACATTTCTCCTTTTCAAAGTAAACAGAAACGCAGAATTCCACAAAAAAGAAAACAACGACATGGGGAATATACTTACTCTTTGACGACGAAAAACGGATCCTCCAGAGACATTTCTTGACCAAAACGGCTTTAAAACATTAAAATGTCGTTTAGGTAAGGGGTAAAGGTAATATACGCTGGGAAAGGCCGATATACAAGCTTAAAATACTGTTGAATACTCGAAGATGCTGAAAGCTTCACAGTTGACAATCGCTGCCATTAATCAGTCACGTGTTCAATAACAGTGTGTTTCTGGTAGCAAGAAGCTTACGTCAACTTCACTTCCGGCGAGGGTCAACACCCCATCTTCTTACACCACATACCTAAATTTCAGTACTCTACTGACCAACTCGATGTTTCGCAGGCTCAAGATATCTATCATCAGTTCTTAGTTCTTCGTTGGGTAAAACCCTTCATTAGTCTACGGTGGGTCCTGAGGGCGGACTATCAGCCTTATAATACGGATTCGTGCGTGACTGTCTTATGAACGAGTTGACGAAGGTTTTTCTTTCTTTTGAAGTGAAGGAGATCGTATCGTTCTCACCTTAAAGGTTAGTGAATCATATTAAACTTGTAACGCGTTTACAAAAGGCGTTTGTTACGCTGCTGTTTTAACCGTGGACAAAGACGCCATCACATATCCATATCTCTGTTACATTAAAAAAAAAAAAAAAAAAAAAAGCAATTACCGGCATAGAGCTCAGTTTTACTCAATCGATTGCAAGGTTCTTTTCGAAATTGAGGGCACCGGGACACGACGCTGATACTGTATATGTTATTTGCTTGCAAACAGCGTTTTCGTTATTTAGATAAGCCGTGTACACGTATAATTTCGTTGTTGTAAAGGCCTCTGATCGAGAGATAATGTCGATGTTTATTTCCAACTGCGATGAACAGTAACAAGGGAAGGAATAAAGCAATTCTCAAATCTTCCAACTCGTGATTTCCATCGCTGTTTTGTCTTAACATCTGCATTTATTAGAGTCGGTAAAACCTTGAGGGTATCACACAAACTATGATCTTACCCACTAACATAAAATGAAAACACACGACTTAAATGGATTGTAGATATTCGTCTAGATGTACATTAAGACGTAAAATTTCAGGGGCATAATTCCATATTTAAATTTCACTGTTATTTTAAGAAAAAAAATCCTGAAATCAGAAACAGGGTTTCCTCATTTCCCTCTGTGTCCTGAGGTGTCACATCCAGAAAACTGAAGTTCATTTGGTGGCTTAGTTACTACAGTCGAACCTCGATTATCCGGACTCGTTGGGACTTAACGAAATAGTTCGGATAATCGAGGGTCCGGATAATTGAGAATATGACTATTAATGAGGAATAAAATGTGATGAAATTAAGAAAGCGACATATAATCCTGAAACAAAACATGTACAAATCGTTTTGAAAAAGATACGGTCTACATGTTCACTGTCCTACACGAATACCTCTATACCTGTCTACAAACAATTAAAATGAATGAAAAATGTTTTTACATTGGCCTAAAATGTTGAAGTAAGTCAGTTTGATTTAAAGAAGAACATTGCCTTAACTTCACTTTTCAATGCTGTAGTTTTAAAAAGAATATGGCTACAGATCTTGATCATGACTAATAAATATTCGTGAAAAAATTGGGACCAGAGAAAAAGTCGGGTTAATCTAGAAATGTGGACAATTGAGGTCTGGATAATTGAAGTTTAACTGTAATGGTATCCATTATGATCCATCAAATATTTTTGCTGGTACACAGTCGGTCTAAATATACCCTAGCTAAGACTGGGTGATATCCGCGAGTGTCACCCAAGTGATATTCCCTGATTTTCAAACCTAATGTGCACTACGATAAGACCAATAAGACTTCATTTCAAATTTGATTCAAGGTGAGAGAGGGTTTTGTGGTTGTCATAGAAGAGTCGGGAAAACCTTTTTCTGTTCATGTTGTCAGACAATACAAATTATGCTGCATGCAGTAAGCTGTTCATAAATGTTGCAAAAAACTTGAGGGCTAATAACACAAAAGCCTCTACTTTGGACGAAATATGTACAGATATTTGTCCTTGGATATCATCTGCTCTTCAAAGCTCACAGCTGTCTTGGAATGGAAAATGTGCTAACAGAAATATTCATACATATTTTTGCACCAAATAGAGGGTATTGTTTTTGTAGCTCAGCAATAGAGCATCTGAACAAAGCATCAAAAAATCATAGGTTTATTGTAAGGGTGGCCAATGTGGTATGTAATTAGGTTCAAAATTAACATGATGTGTGAATTTTACAGTAAGGCGAGTTAAGGTGAGATTTGTAGTTCTCCCTTTTTAACTTTTAAGGCATGAAATACTGGTTAAAGTACATGTGACACAAGAATTTTTCTAAAATTTGAGCATAAAACAAGATCAGAATCCCTCACCCCTTCTCTACCCTCTATCTGCAGCTGGTGATGCTAAATTTGTTCTTCTCCCAAGTATTTATGTGTAGTCAGTGACAAACACCATCTTTTAAAGGGATGTTTCCAGAACCATAAGAGAAAGTTTGCTGCACTCGCTAAATGCTTAAGGTAGCTGAACACAGTTTTTGCTACCTGTGTTTCTTTCACCATTTTCTCTAAAACCCTTGATCTCTTGGTCGCCAAAACTGGCAGCAAGAAAGTTAACAACACAAACTTTTTTTGATAGTTAAGCTGACATATGTTTCATTGCCATGGCGACATGAATAAATATAAATAGGCCTTTAAACATCGGTTTTTGTTTATTTGTAGAAAATCTAGTCATTAGATTTTCTTTATAATTTGCATGCAACGAGCTTTTAACGATACCCACAAGTTAACACCATTTTGCTAACAATTTAACAGAGAGATATTTAATTATCCCTTGTTGAATGTTCACTTGATTATCTAGAATTTCCTTGTTAAAAATCAATTTTTTCGATACTCCAGTTACTTATTTCCTAAGTATTTTCGTACAGAATTTGGTGAAATTCTAATGAGTGGTTCTCAAGAAATAGGCATATTACCAAGAAAGCAATTTTCCATTCAATCGCAATTTTTTTACTTACTACGCATGGGCTGCATTTAACTGGGTTATAACAATAACATTTATTATTTGTATTGCGCCTTTTCTATAAAATATTCAAAAGCGCAACTGGGTTCTTTTGGTAACAGCGGAAAAGCTGAGAATTGCTGGGTTCTTTGCACCATTAACTTTCCTAACATGTCTTTGTAATAAAAGATTAAAGCCCTCAGTACACTGCACCAACTATAGAGAAAAATAGCACAGATAGTGCAAATACGTGTTGAGTAAATAAAATGACCGCTCTATTGACCGCATGTTTGTTTTTTGCAATCCTTGTGCACATGCTGAATTGCATCTGCAAAAGTGCACGCAAAAACTGTGTTCAGCCACCTTAAGAGAATACAGAGTTTCAATGTGATGAGACCTTGACTTGATATAATGGTTCCCTTCCAAGATGTACCTATTAGGAAGGACTGAAGTATTCTATGAAATCCTTCTGAATTTATCTGACCCATGGTATGAGAGTCAGCTCATGTGTGACCTGGTGAACTTTCTTTATGGGGATATTTGGAACTTGTCATGGTGTAAGATGTTAAAGAATTTTCCAGCTAGTGGGTGTAACTCTCAAAATTTATGTGAATGAATTGGGCAATGTTTTTTTGTTCATTTTGTAACAAGATATTGACTCTGATTGGAAGACAGAGCGAAAATGAAATGCATATTTTTCAGCTTTTTCAGTGTTGTTCCAGTTAATATTGTTATCCTCACAATTTTTCCAATGAAATTTTTCAGAATTTCATGAACATTGATGATCATCTGTGTTGCATACCCCAATACTCTCAAGAAATGTGTGAACACTTCCTCTCCTCAGATCGAGGGCGACGTTCTCCTTAGCAAGTTCCAGATTTATCATTCCATGTTATATCAGAGAATCTGGTACAAAATAAATTGTATATCTTCAAATTGATCATTTGCTTAATTCCTTCAATCTATTTACTCAAAAATTTGATGATGTAGGAAGGAGTTGCCTGTTTAAAATGGTTAAACAGTCTCTCTGCCATGCAAGGTTTTGCATTCAAAGCTTCAGTGTTCTTTTAAATGCTACAACTCTTGGATATGTAATTATTCAGGACAGGCTGCCAGACATTCTTGAGTAATATACCAATTATTTGGGAGTTAGCAGATTGTGGCTAAGTTAAATTCTTGGAAAGCTTATCACTTCTATGGTGAGCTGATAACTGAGATGTGTTTGTTGAACATTGTGTTTTCTTGGTTTAAACAGGTGAAGATGAGTATTCAAAATGTTGCCAGATTCTTTTGTCTGTGATGTTTGTTCATAACAAATTTTGTTTACATTTCTTTTGCTGTGTATTTCAATACAAAATCTACTTTTGAATTCCCAAATATCCTTGTTTTTAATTACTTGGCTTTCAGTTCATTTGGAGATATTACTAAATGCTGTGGATTCAAATCTCTTCTTTGTTTATTCAAAGAGCAAAATTTTTGTTTCCTGGTAAGAAATTCGTGATTTAAGTTAAGACCTATAAAATTTTTTTCACAACTTATTCTTTGTTTATTTGTCCGTGTAAAACCAATTCGACGACATTTGCAATATTTTTCCACGATCCATGTTTGAAAAATTGTAATTGCAGATTTGAATGGGTGCCATTTTGGCCACCCGTTCTACTCTTAATTTACCTACGACCACACCTTGGGAAACTTCCAATTGCGAAAAAAACACTGACCTTGGAAGCTTTATATTGAGACTACGTTTACTTTGTAAGTAACTTTTCGATCACCTGTTTAACGTTGCCGACCATTTTGTTAATTATGATTGTTATAATTTAGAATGTATTCTACGTAAATGGACGATTTTTGTTGCTGAGATCTACTGCCATGTTCCAGTTACTAGCTTATTTCAACTGAGATTTGTACGTGGTTTTTGGGGATAATGATCATTTGCTGCGCATAGCGCAGGCAGCTAAACGACGGATAGGTCAGTGGGCGTAAAGTATTTTTTCTCCATTTAATGATTATCCATCACTTCGATAGAACGCCTTATGATCACCACCACAAGTTAAAAGTTCGTGCATTATTTTTTTATTAACCACAAGTGGCGTTTACCTTTGTTGTATAAGCGACTTAGTGATGGTAGCAGCCCATTGAAGTATTAATGGTACTGCTCAAGGTAGAAAATAATTTGCGAACATATATCAGAGAGTTGTCTAGTAGTCTCTGTATTTTTTTACGTAGAGAATTATTTTGAGTATATGGGTGTCGTTCAGGTAGATGGGGTGACCATGATAACAATGAAAGAAAAACACTGTAACAAATGAGTGAGTGGACTGTGAAATGGTGCATTTACATCATTTCTATATTACTAATTTATATCAATGGCTTATAATAGCTAGGATTTAAATACTGTTTCGGCTCTGACATAATTATGGAGCAGCGCGCGGCGTCGGAGCTGTAAGTTGACAAAGATGCATAGATCTGCTTGTTTGATCTTGTTGCCATTATTAATATTTTTGTTTCACTATTGAGCGACAGATCTGGTGGAATTCTATTTCCTTGTTTTTCTTTCTCTGCTGTTTTCCCTTGCGGCGGACATGCAGTGTCTACAATTTGCGCGCAAATTCGTAGAATTAGCGAAGCGAAAACCAAATGATTACTTAGCAGTCTTACATGCAAGTTTGTCTTACTTTATACTCTTTGTTTTTTTTCGGTATGGAAACGTTGTGAGATAGATGATCCTTTTGAAAGAAGTTATGACATGTTATTGTGAATGCTTATCAAAGCTTGAAGGTAGATAAAACAAAATGAATCAGTAGTTTGTTTTCGGATCGATTTTGGACGCCGCAGACTTTTCATCGTAAGTCTGTCTCTGTTTTTACCGAGTTTCTAAACAAGATTTGCGTTTAAAGCGTGTCTTTGCAAAATTTGATGTTACATAGAGGTATCATTCCTTCGCCAATGAGCTGATTTATTCGGCCCATGGCATTCTTATGAAAATTTTAAAATGCTTTACCTTTCAATTTATGTCGGAAAAATACTGCTTTACACTTGCAAATGAATAACTTCCCTCGCAGTTCCTTATCAGTGTAAAGTAGTGTCGACTTTCCAAAGCTTCATGTTGATTCTAAGTTGTTTGATTTTCCGGTGTACCACATGCTAACAGTTGAAATTTGGCCTTTGGCCAGCGAAGAACTGAAGTTTTCATCTGAAAACGCGCCAAGTTTTTGTGTGGAGAAAGTGTGCTAAATAGTCCTACGTAACATAACATTTTAAAGGGAGATCGCGAGAATTTTTTTAGAAGCGGATCAATACAAGCCGGCGTTTGTTGTGACTATCGGTAACGCCCCTCTGTTATGTAAGGTGAGCAAGAGGCGTGTATTTGTGAGCTTTGTGTACAAACCGAAATAACGTTTTTTAAGGTCCAAAATGCAAGGCGGAGTTGCAGGATTGTTTACGTTTTGTCGCTTTAATTTACCTGGTATTGTAAATCTAATCGCAATCGATACAGTACAGTGCCGAAAAGTCCCAAGACTAGGTTAGATTTTCTCTTAACGGTAACGAATGCACGAGTCAGTTCTCCACCGCTTCACAAATTGACCACAGGGGTTGAAGGGAAATTACGTTTCATGGTGAAATTATAAGGAATCATTAATTTGGGGAATAGCCGAATTTCGTGATGTATTGCAAAAAAAAAAAAAAGAAGAAAAGAAAGAAAGAAAATCACAAATATCGAAAACAAAAATTCCTGATGAATCCTGACTCGTTGGGCAAAAAAAATTCAGAATTAACCAGTCGCGAGGTCAAATGATTCTACTGACGCCCCGAAATTTTTTTTCTTTCTCTCTCTCGTAAATTTTGCAAGTATGAGTACTTTAAAGGTTCGTCCGCACAAGCGAGTCATTCTATGCGATTTTGCCCTTCGATTTAAGGATACTGTAGACCGTTATGGCTAACTTTTAGATAAATGCGACATTAACTTTGAACATCTTCCTTATCTCCCTTCCGGCACTGAGAAACTGCGATAAACAACACGATTTCTTTTCTTTTAATGTTTAAAAGGTAACAGATTGTATCAAAGTATTTTGAAGCCAACAACGTGAAGGGTCAAGGAGTATCTGAAGGTATGCAATCAGCTTGCTGTCCGTTAATTACCAGGGCAGGAAGCATGTACAATCAAAGAATGAGACTTAAGTTAAATATGAAAGGAAGAAGAAAAGCTTGCACAATTTTAACGAAATACAAAATATCTAATTCCCGAAATCAGACGGATACATTTCATGACATCTTGAACTGCCAGTTTCAGAAGATTTCGTGACGAAATTGAATTAGCCAATCATGAAGCTTGCTCTTCACACGTCGACATTAGTATTTCACAATCTCTTTTCGTGATTTATTACGTGTTGAAAAGCTGGTGAAACACTACCATCGTTGCCGAATCTTTGAAAAATTTTTTAAGGTATGTATGAATTTGTGAAAGGACCACGATAAGCAAATCAAAACTCTATCAAAATTCGAAATTTCAATTGAGAGCAGAACGAACAAACAGGGCTAGAAGTGTGGAATTTAAAGGCTCCAACTGTCTGGTGACAAGCAGCAGACTCGGGTGTGACCGAGAGTTATAATGACAGCAAGTGATATAATTTTAGGACTAGACGTGTTGTTTTCAATCCCGAATGTGAAAACAAAGAGGTTTAGAAATACTTTCATAATGCACTTTGCAATTAAACAACAATTGTAAATAGAAAATTAATACTAGTATAGTTAGGAATTTTTGTAGTTTGAATTTTCAAACATGTTGTATATAACACAAGTGGTTCAGCTTATAACTGCAAGTTGTGGTTTTTTAATAAACGATTTTATTTTTATTTATGACCATCTTAATGCATCCACGTTTGGCTTTTTTATGTGATAGGTAGCAAGTTATTCGTTCCACCGTAGCTGATTTGTGGGTAGTCAGTGTAGTCACTTTCCTTGAATGCCACGTAATTTGGCGAACGTAACGCTTCAATTTAGCGCACGCTTTGGTGTGACTTACGGGGAAAGTGACGAACGAGTCTCGGTTACGTTACCGCATCATCAATTTTTTTGGGTCTTGTCACGCAAGACCTTATCTTTAAGAGAAGCATGTTTTGTTTATGATGAGAAGTAACAGTTGGATGTATGTGTATGTATGTAAATCTTTATTTAAACACGGAAAATCATCAGTTACATAATAAAAACTAAGATTAATCAACTGCTTTACATGATTGCCGTGTGGGAATCCTATATATCGACTACGTTAAGATTTCGCCTAAAATGGTTAATGGATGAAGCATTTTTTAAGTTTTTGGGCAATTTATTCCATAATATGGTCCCGCTGTAAGAGAAGCTTCGTTTCAAATAATTGGTGTTTGGTTTGGACAAGGCCAGCCTACCCTCAGAGTTTCTTATGTCGTACACAGAGTGTCGCTGAGAGAAAAGACTTTGCAGTAAATGGTTTGAACCCGGGGGTAACATGTGAAGGTGTAGTCTGATCGTCCGGGTGAGTGTAGTCCTGAGAAGGACTGTTGTCGGTGGCAGTGACTGACGTTTCGACAACCTGTGCGGAAGTCATCATCAGAGTCAAGTGAGTGATTGTTGTCAGTAGAATGTTCTTATTCCAGTTCGTGTGAAATGATCGGTTGGTTTTGCCGTGATGTTATTGGCTGTAAGACTCAAGTGACGTAAGTCGTTCGTGATTGGTCTGTTTCGGTCTGTCGGTAAAGCTAGGTTGTTCTTTTTCGGTCGTTTGTGATGTTTATGTCGTGAATGAGTCGTTTGTATGGGGCGGGTAGTTGTTGACATCTGTTTAGGGGAGTCTGTTCTAAGTTAGTAAACCAGCTTTCCAGAGTCAGTCGTTGAAAATAGTCAGTGCTGTAGGTTAGGCATTGCGCAGAGTCCCAGTCAATGTTGTGGTTGGTAAGTCGATGGTGTTCAGCAATGTGATTGCTAACATCACCTTTCCTCGTCGCCCGTCTGTGTTCAGTCAGTCTTGTTGTGAGGTTTCTGCCAGTCTCACCGATGTAGGAGGCTTGGCAGTCGGAACAATTGATCTTATAAATCGTTCCCTGTCTGTTCCTCGGTTCGTCTTTGTCTTTAACGTTGGTTAGTAACTGACGTAGTGTGGTGATGGGTTTGTGGGCGACGCGGATATTACCCTTCAATATCCGCGTCGCCCACAAACCCATCACCACACTACGTCAGTTACTAACCAACGTTAAAGACAAAGACGAACCGAGGAACAGACAGGGAACGATTTATAAGATCAATTGTTCCGACTGCCAAGCCTCCTACATCGGTGAGACTGGCAGAAACCTCACAACAAGACTGACTGAACACAGACGGGCGACGAGGAAAGGTGATGTCAGCAATCACATTGCTGAACACCATCGACTTACCAACCACAACATTGACTGGGACTCTGCGCAATGCCTAACCTACAGCACTGACTATTTTCAACGACTGACTCTGGAAAGCTGGTTTACTAACTTAGAACAGACTCCCCTAAACAGATGTCAACAACTACCCGCCCCATACAAACGACTCATTCACGACATAAACATCACAAACGACCGAAAAAGAACAACCTAGCTTTACCGACAGACCGAAACAGACCAATCACGAACGACTTACGTCACTTGAGTCTTACAGCCAATAACATCACGGCAAAACCAACCGATCATTTCACACGAACTGGAATAAGAACATTCTACTGACAACAATCACTCACTTGACTCTGATGATGACTTCCGCACAGGTTGTCGAAACGTCAGTCACTGCCACCGACAACAGTCCTTCTCAGGACTACACTCACCCGGACGATCAGACTACACCTTCACAGAAAAGACTTTGTAGATATTCGGGAGTAAGGTTGTTTATAATTTCATACATCATTAGGGCTTTTTGTTTCTCTCGTCGAAGAGATAGCCTCTCCCAATCGAGGGTGGAGAGAAGGTGGTTTAAGCTCGTATCAAAGGGTAATTTAGTAATAATTCTGGCTGCTAAAAGGGTCGTACACGTTTTAGGGCGCCTATAACTGAAGAGACTTTCTTGCAGATCTCTTCAACGTGGCTACCCCAAGAGAGTTGGGCATCTATAGTAAGACCCAAAGATTTGGTCTTGTCGACTCTCTTGATAATTTGGTCAGCAATTCTGATTTCTAAGTCGTTACATTGGGCAGATAGTCTTTGTCGATGAACTGTTTAATTACAATTTAGTTTTATCTCTTTTTCTTATAGAATAGACTAGCGATGTGTCAAGAATTTCACTGCAACTGTTGTTCGGATGAATTACCCGAAGACTCTTGCGAATGCGGCGATTGTTACCATGGAGATCAAAATTTGGACGATGCTTTTCCCTTCCTGAAAGATGGTGAGATTGCAACTAAGTGTAATTCTGAGGCAAAATGGCGTAGTAGTTTGAATTCCATAGATCTATATCCGTCCAAAACTTGTGGTAACGAAGAAAAGATGAGCAAGCCATGCTGTGCTTCTGCATCAGGACTAACTGAAAGCTGTTGTGAGGATGGGAAAGATTTGTATGGAGAAGAAGTGGCAAGAAACCCGTGTACGTCTTCTTGTTCAAAACAGCCCAGGAGCTGCAGCGATGACGAGATGGATTCTTGCAATGAAGAAAGTCAGTGTAGTCCTTGGCCTTCTGCTTCAGCAACCAAGCAGTTAAGCGATGAAGCAGCCGACTCTTGCCGAAGTAAGTGTTGCTCGGATACTATCAACGAGGGAAGAAGAGATGAACCTGTCAAAGGCAGCTGCTGCTCTCAGGTGAAGTCACCACAAGAGAAAGAGGACACTTCAAGCGAAAAAACGTCAGGGCAACTAGCACAAACTAATACCACTACTGAGAGGGAAATCCCACAGAGAAATTCAACTGAATCCGGTGGGCCTTCGAGAAACCCCAGCCTTGATTGTTGTGGAAGAACCGTTGAAGATGACTGTGGGGATTCTTGTCAAACGAGTGGCAACTGCACGGATAAAGACAGTGGTAGACCGTCCAGTTCAGCGGGTGCGAGCTCCGTGTTAACTCGCTGCGAAACTGGTGGCCCCTGTCGAACTTCACGTGGTCAGGTGACATGTCAGTTACGCAATCCACGATTGACTATCACGTGTTCTCCGGTGGAAGACAATTGCTGTCAGAGTCAAGCTTGTAATGGTTTCACGCTGAAACCACGTGGGGACGATTGCTGCCAAAAATCCCAGCTTAAATTGTCAGTTGAGCAACTTTGCGATGGAAATCGATCTGTCAACAGGATCTCAATGACAGACCGCAGTGGTTTTTATCCTATCACCCCTCCCTTGTCACCAGGTATTCAGGAACTCGACGACAGCTCGAAGAAGAAACCCGTGATACGCCAAAGCACCACCAAACTACGAGTGCAGAACATTTGCTGTGCAATGGAAAGTGCACTCGTTCAAGAATCCTTGGAACCATTAGAAGGCGTGAAATCGATTGCAGTCAATGTGATCGGGAGAGTCGTGTATGTCCGTCACGACCCGGAAGTGACGTCCGCTACCGAGCTTGTCAGTACACTCAACCGCATGCATTTGGGGGCTAGCATCATGGAGACTGGGTCCCGACAATACGACGAAGATAATAAAAGTCTCCCGCCGTCCTTATCGACTTTTCTGATTTATCTTTTGTTCCAAACCGTTCTCCTGATGACAGGCGTTGTGGCGTTCTTCTGTGATGCCTCCTGGTATAAATGGCCGGCCATTGCGGAAATTGTGTTCGGTATATTTCCAGTCCTCAAGAAAACGTATGTTTCTATCAAGACCTGTAGCGTCGACATCAACATTCTAATGCTTATCGCCATAGGGGGAACGCTTGGTATTGAGGAGTGGCTGGAGGGTGCCGCTGTAGTTTACGTATTCTCGTTCGCCGAGGCCCTGCAAAATTTTTGCATGTACAAAGTCCAGCGGACAATCTCTGGGCTCATGCTCAAAGCACCACAGGCGGCGATATTAGCGAACACTGGCGAATCTGTATCGGTGGAATCAGTTGCCATAGGAACTGCCATCGCCATTAGGCCAGGAGAGCTTATTCCTTTGGATGGTGAAGTTGTAAAAGGACGAGCTGCTGTAGACGAAAGTTCGGTATCTGGCGAATCTGTGCCTGTCGAGAAGACTGTGGGATCCAAAGTTTTCAGCGGAACAGTCAATCAAAATGGCTACTTGGAAGTGAAGACCACATCAGACGCGTCATCTTCTACAGTTTCTAGAGTTGCTCAGCTTGTTCAAGAAGCCCAGACTAGTTCAGCAAGAACCGAAGTCGCCATAAACCGGTTTGCCAAGTATTACACTCCAACTCTGGTCGTTGTTGCGACTCTGGTATTTGTTATTCCAGCCATTCTCGGTGCTGCAGGCGTGGGAACCTACTCACAGGAGTTAAAGAAGTGGGGAGTACGGGCCCTTGTTCTTCTGGTCACAGCGTGCCCCTGCGCTCTTGTTATGTCCACCCCTATTGCTGTGATCTGTAGCATCACTGCTGCTGCGCGTAAAGGAGCTCTGATTAAAGGTGGAGTTCACCTTGAAACCCTGGCTCAGTTGCAGGTTCTTGCGTTTGATAAAACTGGAACATTGACTGAAGGAAAGTTTCAAGTTGTTGATATAGATTGCGTTTTTGGAGTGCGCGAACGAGCAGCCTTACGCTTAGCAGCTGCGCTCGAGAGCAAGTCCAGCCACCCACTTGCGGCAGCCATTGTGAAGGAATTTAGTGGTTGTGTTGCAGAAATGGTCAAGTCTCGATCTTCCAGCCTTCCTGAAGTGACACGCTTTAAACTTCACGAAGGACAAGGTGTTTCCGGTTATGTCGATGGTCAATTTGTACAGATCGGCAATTATGAATTCCTTAATAATGTTGGCAACAAAGCACTGTATAAGTGTATGGAAGAAAAGTATATCACTTGGTGTAACGAGAGTAAAACTGTGATCTTCGTGGCTGTGGATGGTAAGTTGGCCATGATGATTGCTCTTGCTGACACCATCAGACCAAACAGTCTCAGTGCGTTGGACTGGCTACGAAAAGCTCGTGTCCAGACTGCCATGATCACCGGTGACAACTCTCGTACAGCCATGGCCGTGAAGAGTAAATTAGGCTTAGTCGAGTGCATCGCCGACATGAAACCTCAGGACAAATTGTTGTGGATCAAGGAAAGACAAGGTGGAACGCAAAGCGAGGAATGCGAGATGCATGGCGAGGATCAACAGGCTAGGGAATGTGTGTTACCGTGTGCTTTTTGCTGTCCCCGTCGCCGCTACAACGTTGTCAAATCAGGTAACAGCGACAAAAACATAGTGGGTATGGTCGGCGATGGCGTCAATGATGGTCCAGCCCTGGCCGCAGCGAACATTGGGATTGCAATGGGCGCTGGCGGAACGGCTTTAGCAGTGGAGGCGGCGGATGTGGCCCTGATGAGCAACAACTTAGCGAAAATACCGGAACTGGTACTACTCGGCCGTTTCTGCAGTCGTGTTGTAGCAGAAAACATCTCGTTCTCCATAATTCTGAAGTTGGCCATCGTGATCACTGCCCTGGCAGGGAAGGCTGCCTTGTGGATGGCTGTTCTGGCAGACGTGCTCGGTTTGCTGTTCGTTATTGTGAATGGTTTGAGACCCCTAAGGTGGAATGTTGTCAAGAATGAAATAGCGTTTCCTGCTATCGCTCGGCCATCCTATTACTACGAATCGTATGTCTAGACGAGGACCTTCAAGGAAAAATGTGATGTGATTTTTTTCTTTGGCATTTATGATCCCCTAGTTTTTTTAAGTACTCAGGACAGAACAGATTGTCAATTGATTGCAGTGGACAAATTGAAAGATCAATGCCTTCAATTTATACAGACTGAATTTTTCAAATTAAGATATGATTAACGTGATCAAATTTGTACGTTCGTATATTATACGTTAATTTCCTATATGATCGATGATTGATAAACACTACATAACTAAAAAATACAAGAACAAAAAGAAACGAATTTTCAAACGTTAAAGATTATTGAATGAGACTTATTATTAACTTCGCTCTTGCTATGATGATCTCGTCAGGTTTGACACGCTCAATAACTCCGTGAAAAACTTTAAAAAGATTATTCAAATAATGCAATTAGTAGGTTTGAAAACTTTAAGATATTGCGTCTACCAAAGACAATCATAGATTCAGTGGTTAGTACTGTCTTAAGGCAGTTTCTCAATTTTTTGTTGTTAATTCCTTCATGAATCGATGCTAAAACGCATTTTTGTAAGTTTCTTTAAGAATGGTGTAGAACAAATGCCTCAATTTTGCTCAATAAATTCTGTTATGGTCTTTCACATTACTTACGTGAAGGCTTGCCAAAGCAACACGAAAGCGTTCTAGAAAAAGCATAATTTTACTTTTATGCGTCAGTAACTCTTCACAATCTAGAGTTACGAGTGCAAAAGCATAAAAAGCAAAATTCAGAGTATTAAGTGTATTTCGGTGGGAAAAAATACAGTAACATTGTTTTATGGTTCAGAATTTCAGTTTTATGATACCGTTATAGGAAGAAGAGGTTTATCAATCAAAGCAGCAAACGGAAAGAAATTTGATTGCATTGCTCCATCAAGCTACAGCTACTGATACGATTAAGGAAAACCAATGGAACCTCTAAAATAAGCTGTTTTCCGCTATATCCTCAGATTTCGATATACGTGGGTGGGAAACAAGTAGCCTTTAACAAAACTTCATAGCAGTTCCTTGATGAGATTTTGTATTCGGTCTTCCAATCACGGATTAGAGCAAGCGATCCAGTTGAATTTTCCAGGCACAGAATAGAACGCATTCTGTAGAACATTATGTTCAGTTGAAGATTTATTTATTCAATGAAATTTCGACTATACAGAGATCGTGGTGTTCATGAAAATATTCGTTTTTTATCGAATTGTGTATCATGCGCCGATCAATTCAAAGTCTTAACAACCCCCCCCCCCCCTCCGGGCAACCCATAGGCATTTGACCGTCGTTCAAGCGTGGGAGCCTGATAAGGAATGTAAGATGGAGGTGTTAAGTCCTTTTGGCGGAATACAAATGTTATACCCTTAAATGCGGAGGTGTTTAAGGTAAATAGTTAACTTTCGCGAGCGAATGGCTCAGAAGAAAAGGTCAAAGTGTAGAAAGTCGATAAAGGCTAGGCTCCGATTGTTGGAGGAATCATAACAGTGTACACTCGATAAATGTCTATCCAGTGGATAGTGGAGAACGTTTTGTGAACACCTGACTTAGCGGTTGGATAGCGATTTATCCGTTCAAGGCAGCGTTATCCGCCATTTGAAGAACTGCGCTACGGGATATAAATGCAACGTTATCACCCAAATTGACTCATTCCCTGGTTAATTTTTCGTTCGAATTCTTTCACATATCCATTTGGTGTGTTTGTAACTCCCATTTCCTGTTACAGGTGCAATAAATTTTACCACACTTCGCGTATGAGCCTTGGCCTTTTCTGGGCATGTCATATCCTCATGGTGATCTTGAGGCGTTGACCTTAGATTCATTACAGAGTGGCAATGTGTTCAAAGTGAAATAATAAGGCAGGCTATTTGAGTTCGGTTAGGTACAGTATTCACTTACAAGAAAATTATGTGACGCTCGATTTCCAATTTTATTTCGAGTACGGTCTTCGACCCTCCCAAGAAAGAACTTCCTCTTGGCTTTCACAGTCTCCCCAACTGATGCCGGTTAATAATAAAGTCCACTGAGCGGGAACACTTTACTGGAGCGAAATGCTCTATCGATCCAACAAGCCGATATATGACACCCTTAGACATCCTCAGGCGATCTCAATTGGAGACACACCTCCTGATTGGGAAAGGAGGCTGTTTTTTGCGGCGTTAGTTACAACGGCGAGACCATGAGAAATGTGTGCAGATGAGAACTGATAACCACTTTCAGACATCTAATGACTCGCCATACCTGCCCATGACTTCAAGGAGAATCCGGTGCAATTTTTCATCTAGCGCATACTCTGCAAAGATAAATCTTGTGATCAGCGTAGAATCCTTGGAGGCCTAATGATCAAAATTTGAAGCCTAGTTTGAATAGAAGAATTAACTCCAATACACCTTTGCCATAATGGCGGCGGCCGAGTGAAGACTAAAACTAGTGCATAGGGACGAAGCCACCCGGGCATGGATTTGTGCACTTGTGAGCGCTTGTCAAAAAGTTTCTGGCACAATTTATTAATTTATTAATCCAAAAAGCTTTATTTCTCAAAGAATCGACTACTAATAAAGCTAAGGCTCAAGTTAATATGTACAATGCCATGCCACTGCTGTGTTCATTCATGGACTTCTAGGGGATATCGCGACGTAAACGGCTGGGTTAATAAATATCCTACTTTAAGTTTCCCAAAGAAAAACTCGCGAGGAAGCAATGGCTTCATGCAATCCGTCGAGAGGAAGGAAAAAGCTTCAAAGTATTGGACTCAACCATGGTCTGCTCGCACCATTTTAAAATGGAAGACTTGAAGAAAAGTATTGCGGGCAAAATATGCCTTCAAACCAATGCTGTACCGTTTGGTATTTCAGTGGCGTAGTCCCTTGTGTGACTGGCTCAGTTAAAACCTTTAACATGATTATCACTACTATTATTTATTCTTTATTTTTATTTGCTCATTTATTATTTCATTGTTGCGTGTGTGTGTGCGTGCGTGTGTGTGTGTGTGTGTGTGTGTG